AGGCCTTACAGAAAATGATAAAATGATCAATAGGTTATATTACCACACACAATATGCATACACACAAATCAATAGACACATGGTTAGAATGCAGTACTGCAGGCTAATTGCCCACAGCCAGAAGTTCGATCCTGACCAGCTCATGGTTGATTCAGTCTTTCATCCTTCTGAGGATGATAAATAGGGATCCAGATTGCTGGGGACAGTAACCTGACTTTGTAAACTGCTCAAGAGTGTGTGGTAAAGCATTGTGGAGTGGTATATAAGTCTAAGTGGAATTGCTATTGCTATATAGTTTCTCCCGAGCACGGATCCTTTTATGAGAAAATGACCTTTCTGAGAAAAACTCCACATTCCATGCATTTATATGGCTACTCCCATGTGGATCCTTTCATGAAAAGTAAGTATATTGCTCTGAGTAAAGGTCTTTCCACACACTAAGCATTTATATGTTTTCTCCCCTATGTGGACCCATTCCTGGGAAGTAAGCGTATGCTTTGAGCAAAGGTCTTTCCACATTCCATACATTTATGTGTTTTCTCTCCTGACTAGATATTTTTGTGGCCACTAAGGCCACTACTTGGCTGGTGGAGGAGTTGGGGGCCACAGGTTCTACTTCTGGCTCAGCTTCAACTTCAACCGCTGTTTCTTCTTCCTCCTCATTCTCATCCAATTCTGGTTCAGCATTTTCTTTGCTGTCAGAAGAATCCTCTTTCTTGGAGCATATATTTCTCTTTTGCCCACATTTTCCCTTCTTGGGCTTCCCTCCGTTCTCTCCTCCAACCCCATCAGGCCCTAAACAATTATCTACATGTCTGGCCATTGTGTTGAACATTTTGCCACACTTAGAGCAGACGAAGGCAGCTGGGACAAAGTTGGGATCGTGGTAGCGCTTGAAGTGCATGTCAAGCAGCTGCTTCTGGCGGAAGGTTTTGTCACAATGGCTGCAGGCACAAGGCTTTTCTCCAGTTTGGGTTCGTTTGTGCATGATCATGTGCCATTCCTGATGGCACGAATAGTCGCACTGGTCGCATTT